TTACGACGCCTCCTGTGATAGATGAGCTAAATCTTCGTACCGATGTCTGCATCGTCACCCTTATAAAGCATGTGCATTCTCTTTGTCATCAGAAGAACTTGATGCTGGAAAAGTAATGCATTATGAAGCATAGACATTATTGAAGAAACTGCACACAACTTGAACTTGCACATCAATTAGATTTTGAAAATATTTACAATTTTTTAGTTTGTTGAAAGCATTCTTCTTAATCCATTTAATGATTGAATGTTGGAAGTAGTTTCCATGCATTAGGAATCATGTATGGATATGGATAGGAACATGTAAATCACTTTACATGGACAATTATATACATCAAATCTTGAGTTAGTGGTATTTGTTATTTCTTAGTTTTAATATTTTCTTACAATTAATGAACTTGAGGTGGTTAGCAGCAATTCATGCACTATGGACATGGTTATGAGATGAACGTCAAAGAACATGAAAGTGGAAAAGCAAGTTTTGGAAATTCGTTGGAGCTGCCAATTACACGACTTTGTTTGATTTTATATGCATTTAGGTAACTAATAGCTAAAAAAGTGTGTTTAACAGGACACAGAAAAATCTGCATGCTTTAATCCGTGTTAATCTAAGAATTTTGGTACTCTTTGATCAAGATGCTTAAATAAAGTATCTTTAGTATTCGTTTTCTGGCAAACATGTGATCAAATGTTCATTGAGGAAGGGATTGATGGATGTGGATGAATAGAATGTGTGTGTGTGTGTGTGTGGTGAAATTATTGGTCTAACTTAATCTGGAATTGAGCCAAGCTCGGTACTTATTATGCTCCATTTGCTGTGTATTAATGATGCAATCAAAAATTTGGGAGAGGGAGGGCCCCAAATTTTTGATCACAAAAAATAAAACTCACAAAATACCCAAAAGAACACAAATACGATAAACCCCAATTTTATATAGCAAAATGAAAGACTTACAAACTTTGACTCGTACAAACGACGCTTACACAATCATAAACATAAACTCCTAAAGTTGCTTTCCAAGAGAAGAAGGATACAGGTGAGGTGGCACTTGCGGATAGAAGAAAGAGATTAGGAGACGAGACGAAGGTTGGAAAGAGCCCGCAGGATTCCCATAGGAGGAGGGGAAGAAGCTTAGAAAGAGCCCGCAGGATTTCTAAAGCCAAAAACCACTCAGGTTTTATCCCAAAAATAACTCACATCATTCTCTCTTTTTTTAAAACTCTAAAACATCTACTATATATAGGCATAAGAAGAGGAATGCCAACAGTCATCAACCTTGCTAAAACAGCCAACAAAACAGCCCACGGTTTTACCAAAACAGCCAACAATCTTCCCTAAAACAGCCAACAAAAACAGTCCACGGCTTCACCAAAACAGCCAACCAAAAACAGCCAAAAGTTTCCCAGTTTCCATGAAGAAATGAAAAGCCAGGAGGCACATCCGTTGAATCCCAAGAGACCATGAACAAAGCCACGGAACCAGCCAGGGACAGCACAAACCGCAACATCTGCATAGGAACCAGGCGGCATTTAATTTTCGGTCAACAGAGAGGATGCCAAGGCGGTAAAGAAGACAGCACCCGAAGAGGCACCTCACGCCCAAAGCAGCAGCAGCCGTGAGGAAATTTCCAGAGAAGAAAAAAGGGCTGCAGTAAGCTGATTTCAAGAAGAATGTGAAAGAGCAAATTCCACCCACCAATTCTCTTTCCAATCCTTAATTTTATAGCAAGCCATTAGCTCATAATGAGCTACTTCTCCACTAGATATTAATGAGCTTGGCACAACTAAAGTTTTAACTTCTTAAGCTCAAACCGAAAATAGCCAAGGCTCCATAGAATTGTGTTGACCCCCCCTTTGCCTACATCAATTAAACTTAACAAAGTACAAGATGGCAATAAATGAATTACTTGAGCATTAGGATGGTCCGACAAAATGTGTCTACAGTCAGTAATATGAGTTTGAAAGATATGTTTAATATTCTGTTTCATTTTATAGAGCTTGATATTATACATAAGGATGCTTATAGATTATATATGTGTTATATATTTAAGTTTTCAAGTTTATCTAAGTTACATATTAGAAGAGTTACAAGATTTAAATAAGGTTTCAGGCAAGAACAGAAATAAATTTAATATTAATTATCTTGGTTTCAATGCCAAAACATTAGTAGACATTTTTTAGCTCTTAGAAATAGAATTTGATGCTGCACATTGAAAATTACGAAGACTAAATGCAAGAGCTGAAATTTAAAATATAGAAGTAGCTTAATCATAATGTGTCCTCTATATCTAATTGTGTTTTGGAAGAAATATTTTCATAAAATAAATAGTCAATATAATATATGTTAAATCCAAAAAAATTGGAGAGGGAAAAGGCTTAATTTTATTACACAAAATTATCTTTATTTATAAATCTATACAAGATATATAAATAAAAAAGTAAATAACTACGTAATCATGCATAATTTCCATAATATAGTCCTTCCTATATCATCCACCTGAATATGGAAGGAGATTGGCGTGATCCAGGTGAGCCTCCAACGGATCCCCATCCTAGCCATATAATCAAGAGTCAAGGGATGGCTAGGATGGCTGGGATGGTATTTGACACTCCCCCTCAGGCTGGGGAATACATATATGTCATTATCAGCTTGGTAATCAATCCTAGAAAGGTAGAGTCATCAAGTCCACATTTGGTCAAAACTTTGGGAGGAATTAGCTGCAGACATTGCAGAGACAAATTATAGCGATGAAGGCTATATCAATCATGCTTGCAAGGTGCAGGGCAACAGTGATGGCTGCATTGAATAGTATCCCTCAAGATACCTGAAATGATAATAAAGGACAGTGGTAGGACAATAGAGAAAGTGGATCAATTATTTTTCAGGTCTCTCTCTCTCTCTTGGTTTTGAAGGGAAGGCCAACATCGAAGGCACGGTAGTAGAAAGAAAAAAATTGTTTTTAGGGTTGCAGCAAGTTTAGGGACATCAACAGAAAAAATACGTCTCAAGAGACTCGGCACTTGGCACACAGATCTCATCCTTCATAGGTCATCTGATTGAGCCAGCCTTCAGTATAATGCAAATTAGTCGTCCCACCCCACCCGAGCAAACTCCTTTTCAATTGGCCTTGTACAGGTGCACGCAAGGCCTCTGATCCCTTTGCTCTGATCGTAGGACGAGGTCCTGCACTCGACTTCTCTCATTTCAGCTTAGTCGACTTTGGATGTCGCACGCAGGGACGAAGATCGAGCTTGATGTCGTCGTTCATGGGAGGCCGTGACCGCTGTCCGGGCACAATTTCTTGTCCCTTGCAGTCGCATGTTCTCGGCTCCACTTGGTTCGCCCCAGACGCACGCGAGTGGATCCCTCTTGCTCGATCTCTTCTTGGTCTTGGATGCATGAGAGACTCCCGTCTCCACTTCTTGTAGCTGCAGGCACGAAATAGAGGGTACGAGCGGTTTGGACCGCTCGACTCTCATTCGATCTCCAACAATAATGAAGGCCGCTTGTTCCTCTTTGCTTCCTTCAATTTGTATATCCCAGTGATTCCAATGATGAAGGCCGGTGGAAGGACTAGCATTCCTCAAAATTCCGGCAATGAAGGCCGGTGGTGGGAATGTCTCTAATACTATGTTAAATTCAGAAAATTGGAGAGGGAGAAAGCTTAATTTTATCACACAAAACTATCCATATTTATAGATCTATACAATATATCTAAATAAATAAACAAATAAATATGGAATCATGCATAATTGCCCAAATATAATCCTTTCTAAATCAGCCACCCGAATATGGAAAGAGATTGCATTATCCATGTGAGCCTTCCACGGATCCCCATCCTAGCCATAGGATCAAGAGCCAAGGGATGGCTAGGATGACTCAGATGGTATTTGACAATATATAAAGTATAAAAAGTTCAAAATCATACTTCTATACTAAATGAAGGATAAAAGGTTTGTTTTTGAGTTATTTGTATATACATGAAATATGTGTATAGATATCAAACCTACTAAGCTATTAAGTTTGTAATATCCACAATACACCTAATGCTGAGCATTGTGCTTGATGTGTGTGTTATGGATTAAATGTATACTCAAGAATAGACATCCTTTACACGGTGGCTATAGAGATGTGTTTGTTTTATTTTGAGTTATTTGTATATACATTTAATATATGCATATATCAAATCTACTTAGCTATTAGGTTTGTAGGACCCACAATACAACTAATGCTGAGCATTGTGCTTGAGTTTGTTATGGATGAGGTTTATACTCAGCAGTAGTCATCCTCTGTCATGGTGACTATAGAGATGAGTTTTCCTTATAGCTTTGTGTATTGTGTCTCATGCAACCAGATTGAGTGAACACGGCAGGACTAGCAAGTTTGATTGAAACTTGAAAATTGTTTGCTAATCACTCTATATATATTCGATGCAATTGTTTAAAATTAATTCTATTCAATTTGAAATCAACTTAATTCATATAAAAATATATATCTATATGTTTATCTTCACTTCTATATATATGCACACTTATGTTATATGTTTTCTCGAGTTGACTGCTTGTGTAACCTCTGAAGAACTACAGACAATTTTCTCATAAAAGAAGACAATGGAGGATCGGATCAAACAAAAAGAATGCTAATGTCAAAAATTTGTTAGTGAGGAAGCAAGCGACCTCATTTTTCATGCATTGTTCCCATTCTCATAACATGTCCATTAATGCTTTTTGCTGAACTCTAGTTTTGATTTCCTTCTCAGAGAACAGAAGTATTTTCCTTCTTTTTTTTTTCCTTGAAATTTTTTTCAATTATGCGAATCCTGTGGTCATTTTCTCTATTTATGATGAAGAGCTTTCTAAAAGAAATATAGTTATCGTGATGGAAAATATTTTAGTTTAATGCTTATCATTTTTTTTTTTACTTATGTTGGACCAATCCATGTTCTCTGCTTTTGCTTAACTTTTGTTGAAAACTAATAATACCTTAGGGTTGTCTTTCAGGTAGGAAGACTGTACTTCGAACTAGTAGAGTATTTTGAGGCTGACCGGTTCTTTGATTTAGCCCGGCGGTTATCGCCATGCACATTAGAGGGAATGGATGGTTACTCGACTGTTCTATATGTAAGCCTTTCTATCCATTGATCCCACTATGGGAATTACTTCAATTATTATAATGTTAAGAGATCCTTTCATACCAATATATTTTATAAATTAGATAATGAGAACAGTGTTAAGATTCTTACAGCCTCTAGATGAATTGTTGTAGTTTTAAAAGTTTTCCTGTATTATTCTGTTACATTTTTTTGGTATGGTCATAGGTGTAAACTATCATATTCTGGAAAATGCAATGCTTATGATGTAATTTACTCAATTGATGGGATGTACCCGACTAGATTTTAGTCAAATGTTCAGTTTTTTTCGTTTATCATTCATTCTATTTCTCAAGTCTTGGTTACAATGTTTTTAACAAACTCCATGGAATTATAATGGATACAAAAAGGTGACAGTAAAGTTGATGCTAAACAGTAAATGATGGTGAATGTTTACAGCTTTGTTGACCAGGGAAGTTTAGCAGCGCAGTTAAAATTATTGGAAAACTAGAAGGCTTTAAGATGCTCAGTCATCCTTAATAGATCTGTTAATTTTTAAGGGATTGCTGATCTTCCTTTAATGAGTAATTATTTAAAAGAGCTTGAGACTTGTTTGTACGGCCATTGATGAATTTTTGTCTCCCTTCTTGATAGTTATGTTATCAACATGCAATGCACAATGCTAACCGAAAATATCTTTTATTTCATAATATCCAAGGCACAATGCGATTCATCTACATCATTCATTGATGCAGACTATTTACTACTTTATATTGCATGCAAAAAGACTTGGAACTATTTTACTTTCTGCTGAATATAAAACAAATAAGAAGTACCGGCTTGCCTACAGATGCCATCAAAATATACGTTTCGTGAATTTAATTTATCTGATACAAGAAAATTATAGAAATAAAAATGTCACTAACCATTGAATAATGGAAATCTTTCTCTTAATTGAACCGCCTGCTGTGGATCCTGAGGCAGCGATAGGATTTTTACTTGTCAGCTGTTTGTACATCTGACCCGCTGTGGATCCAGAGGCAGGGAGAGGGGGCTTTCCACAGGTTCAGTTGTTTGTACATCTGAATCCATTGTAATTTTAGTTCTTGTTTCGTTGAAAAGTGCATGAATACTTTTCTACAAATTAAATCTTATATTTTTGTTTTTTCTTGTTTTTAAATAACTTTTCTATATTTGACAATTACTGCTTTTTTATAACATTTAGCATTTGAAGGAGGAAATGAAGCTAAGTTACCTTGCTCAAGAGCTTATCTCAATCGATCGATTATCTCCTCAAGCATGGTGAGTGCATGTAAATTCTTCTAAATATTCTTCCTTTACTGTAGATGAAAATTGTAATGTATAAATTGCTACAAAATATAATTTGTATGTTTGGCTTAAACAAATTCATCATTTGGTGCATTTGGATTTCTTCATGCATTTGAAGCCTGATACGCCTTATAAAAAACAACCAACGAGCAAGAACAAATTCAGCAAACAACATATTTTTATTGATAGACTCAGAAATATGCAAAAACAAGATACAATGGTCCTCTTTCGAGAGGAGAACATTCTCTTCCAAATCCTAGACACTACTAGGATCCCTCACTAAAATAGTAGGCAACAATCACTCACAAAATTCTCCATATAAAATATAACATAAACTGTACTACTTATAGCAAACAATAAACAACAAATTTCAAAACAACCCTCCCCAATTGCCTCTCAAATAGCCCCCAAATCTGCACTTAATTAGGAAACATCTCCTAATTAATAATCTTTGACTAAAAACCTTCCTAAATAGCTCCATCTTAATTTGGAAACTTCTTAATTCTCTCCGAATCAAATCGGCCTGTCAATCTATACTCCATTCCCAAAGTGCCACATTGTCCTCAAAGTGGAACAAAGGAACTGTTACTGACACATTGGACTGAAAAATGGACTGCCACTGGGTCGAATAATCCCACCTCTTGCATCTTCCTGATCAATCTTTCTATCTCATCCTTCTGGAGATGAGGAGAATGGTATGTATAAACACTCATATATGAAACTCTTTCCTTCAAAATGATAGCATGCTCGTCTTCCTGTGAAGGAGGTAACCTCTGAACTGACTGGAACACCTCTCGATACTGCTATAGGAGTGGTTGAACCATGTATAGTATCTTCTCCCCATTTTCTTCTCCTTCCAAACTTTGGAGCTCCACTAAGAATCCCTCTCCTTTCCCTTGCAGGGCACAAACTATAGTTTTCAAAGAAACCATTGCTTTGGATAAGCTTGGGTTTCCCTTAATTACCATATTTTTTCCCTCCACATTGATCTTCATGTCCAATGCCTTCCAGTTCACCTTGATCTCCCCCAAGGTTTGTAGTTATTTGATTCCTAAAATCAAATAAGTACTTCCCAACTCTAATGGAAGGAAATCATCCCTGATGTGAATCCCTTGTAGCTCTACCTCCAAAACCTTATATATCCTTATGCTCTTATCTACCTTTCTTGTACCCATCATCACTCCAAATCCTCTTATGTCTACCAGTTTCAGCCCCAATTTGTCTACCATCTGGTTCGATATGAAATTGTGGGTATCCCCACAGTCCACCAGAATAGCCACGGCCTCTCCTCCTATGTGTCTCCTCACTTTCATAGTGTGATTCAGGGTGAATCCCACTACCGAGTTCAATGAAACTTCAGTCACCTCCAAAGGCAAGAGCTCCTCTTCCTATTCTTCCTTTCTCGTTGCCTGTGCCTCGTCCATCTCCTCATCACACAAAGAGAACATACGAGGTGCGATTTTTACACCTATGCCCTAGTCTAAATTTCTCGTTGCATCTGAAACATATTCACTTAGCTCTCGTCTTGAAGTTCAGTATCAATCAACCTCTTGAAATCCCCTCCCTATTGGACTCCTGAGCTTCCCTCCTTTGGAGTTTCCCTTTTAACTTGTACAGTTTGCATCCTAGGTGCCAGGAAAGTGGTCGTTCTGCGATAAGAACCTCCTCCATTGACCCTTTACTACTATCATGTAGTTATTTCTTGTTCTCAATTATCCGAGTCAACTCCATCGCCTCTCACAAGTCATGGGGCCTTGCCACCCGCACTGCTGACCTCTACTCTAGTTTGAGGTCTTTTATGAAATTACCTTTCAACATTGTCTGTAGAAACCTCCCTACTCGTCTTGACAGAAGCTCAAATATTTCCCGATACTCCATCATAGTGTCAACTTATATCAATGCAAAGAATTGCGCATTGTAATCCCCATCTTGCTGGGCTTGAAAGCGCTCCAACAAACGCTCCTTGAACTCCTCCCACGAATGCATTGGGTACCTTATATCTCTCTTTTGGTACCATGACTGTGCCTTCCCTTCAAGACATAGAGCAGTGACCATTAGTCTCTCTTCTTCTGTCAACCGGTTCATTCCAAAGTATCTCTCCACCTTATATACCCACCCATGCGCGTCTTCCCCTTCAAATACATTCATTTTTAGCTTCCTAATCTTCTGATCTCCCCCGCCCCCAATGCTTCCCATGAAGCGAGCATTGGGGTCTTTCCACGGTTCTCTTTCCTCCCTTCTCTGCACATATTCCCTTCTTCCTCCAAATTCAGCCCGCTTGTTATCTAATTCCCATTCCCTCCTACCTGCATATTCCCTACCAATCCCCCTTCTCGATAAAGGCTCCAGATGGGGTATTTCCTCCTCACCTCTTAAAATTTCTCCATATTCATCTTCCCTCGGCATGTCATCTTCATGATCTCTCTTTGCTTATAGTGGGAATGTTTTAGTATGAAGCTCCAACATCCGCTTCGTCATCTCCTCCATTACTAATTCTTCCTTTCAATGCTAAAATACATTCATTCAAATTTGCTTGTAGTTGCCTTACTTCCCCTTTCAACTTTTCTTCCAACGCCTCAACTCTTTTTTCGGCCATCGGTACCTGGATCAAGATTTTCACAGTGAAAAACAACAAATTTAATGCGAATCTGGCCTCCAAACAACAAAAATCAGCGGACACAAAGGAAAAGCTTAGCAGAAATCAGCAACAAAAACTAACATTTCGATCCAGGAAAGTGCTTTAATACCAATTTGATACGCCTTGGTATCAAAACATCCAACGAACTAGGGAACATTTAGCAAACAACATGTTTTTATTGATAAACCCAAAAATTTGCAAAAACAAGATACAATGGCTCTCTTTCGAGAGGAGTACATTTTCTCCCAAGCCCTAGACACCGTTAGAATCTCTCACAAAAATAGTAGACAACAATCACTCACAGTATTCTCCCTACAAAACATAACATAAACCCTATTACTTTTTGTAAACAATAAACAAAAATTTCAAAACAGCCCTCCCCCCATTTCCCTCTCAAAACAACCACCAAATTTGCCCTTAATTAGGAAACATCTTCTAATTAATCATCTCCAAATCAGTCCTCTTCAATTAGGAAATATTTCCTAATTAATCCCCTCTAAATTAGCTCCCAAATATTTTCTTTTCAATTAGAAAACATCTAATTAATCCCCTTTAATTAAAATCTTTTCTAAGCAGCTCCCTTTTGATTAAGAAATTTCCTAATCCCTCACAATCAAATCAGCCTGTCCATCAAAACCATGGTAATGTAGGGATGTCAAAATAGGTCCACGGGTCGGGTTCGGGTCGAACCTGTATTGATCCGGGTCTAAACGAGTTGGCCCTAACCAAACCCGTTTTCAGAAATGGGTTAAAAAATCCAACCCGAACTCGACCCGCATGTGTTATGGGTTTACCCGACCCGACCCACGAACCTAGGGACGAGTTGCAAACTGTGCTGTCGGTGGAGCTTTGTAGGCAGACTTTTGGTTGTGGGGGCAGCTCGGCCTGGCAGACGATGGAGGAAGGACACCCAGCCAGACAAGCTGGCGGCTCAGCCTGGCAAATGGAGGAGGAAGAATGACAGAGCGGTTTCGTCTCGGCCTGACAGATGGAGAACAAGCTATCGAGGTGCTGCCTCAGCCAGGCAGACGTCGGGATCTGATGGCTCGGTGCCCCGGGTGGCCAGTGCTCGCCAATGGCTCGCGAGTTAGGTGATGGTGGAACCCTATCAAGCGACTATTAGAGTCGCGAACAGGCCGAACGTCCGAACCGCAGAGCTATGGTTTCTAAATGGGTCAACCGGGTCAATTTCAGGTTTTCGGGTCAACCCGAACCTGACCCGATTTTTTAAATGGGTTGACTTTGCCAACACGAACCCAACCCGTATGTCAAGCGGGTTGACCCAACCCGGATTTTTTTGGGTCGGGTTTTGGGTCGTGTCGAATATTGACACCCCTATGGTAATGTATCATAGTAGCTACGTGTGAATCAGGCATGATATTTTATATTCATGATATAATAAATTGTTAAAAGTGTTATCATGGATTAAGGCTTGAAATGAATCAAGTCGAGCGCAATATAATATTGTTTGATCTTGTTCATTTATTTTCTCATTGAGTTTAAGTCAGATTTGAATATTCCTCTATTTCATAATCTTATTCAAACGTATTTACTAATTCTATTATTGAGTCCAACCAATAATTGGGTTTTAATCAGGCTTAACTTTATGTAAGATGCTAATGATTTATATGAAAAGTCTTATTACCATCAAGAATAAAATAATAATTTTTATCAAAAAATAAAATAATCCATTCAATATTATTTCTAATGTTTTATAATTATTTCAAAATTAGATTTTTAATCTATCACTCTAGCTATTTTTTCTTATTTATATTATTACATATTAATTATAAAATAAAAATAGATTTTTAATCTATGCAATAATATTTATTTAACATTTCTATTATTGAATATTGTTGAATGCGAGAGCATTCATGACTATAGGGGAAAAAATTTAACATCTTAGTATTGTATAAAGATTCAACACACATATAGATAAGGGTGGATTGAAGGGGCACCAGAGTTTTACGTAGAAAAATCCAAAAAAGGAAAGATCATGGGGCTTGGCCCAATTGAAATGATTCTATTAATATTTGTCATCGATTATAAATGATGTCCATGTCCTTTACCATGATTGGTGAAGGTGCTGCTAAGATATAGTAGATATACAATACATATAACGTGTTTTGCGGTGAAATTTGAAGCTCTGTGACTTGAGAGATGTTGTCAGGAGATCATTTGTTGTTTGTTTGGTCATTCTCCTTTGAGGATGGGAGATCAACAATAAAAAAATTCAATATAAACCTTGGTACTAACATCAATAGTCAAAGTTGGTGTCAACAATATGCATTGGCCTAATGGACATTGGTGTGCGTTGATGTTGTTGGCGACTGCTAGTAACAATGCTAGTAGGTGTTGGTGTAGTTAGGTGACTATGATCAAAGAACCATTGTTGGACAACGGAGTCATAGGATTGTGGTCGGGTGGAAATTATCGAAGGATTATAGTTGGGTGATAATGCTCAATGTTTGTTGAAGGATTATAGTTGGACAATAGTGGTCGGAAAATTATACTCTAGAGATAGTGGTTGGATGATCGTTCAAGGGCAATTGTGGTTGGAGGATTTATGTCGGGTGATGACGCTCGAAGGATTGTAGTTGGGAAATAGTTATTAAAGGATCGTAATTTGACAACGGTGGATGGAGTATCAAAGTTTAGTGACTGTGGTCGGAGGATTGTAATCGTGCGACAATGTTCTAAGGATTATGTTAGATGATGGTGGTCAGAGTACTGAAATCAGGCAATAGTGGTTGGAGGACAGTGCTCAACTGACAATATTGGTGATTAAGCGGTGGTCCAATGGCAACGATTAGGAGATGTTTTGACGGTGACGGTCAAGCTGTGGTCCAACAATGTTGGTCGGACGATGGTCTGACGACATTGGTCTGATTTGATGTTTAAACATGGTTAGGCAATGTTTGAATGGCGGTGATATAAGGGTGGTCAGATAGCTACAATCGGGCATTGGTCTAACGACGGTAATCAAACGATGGTTTGATGATGGTGATCGAGCATGGTTGGATGGTGGTCTAATGGGTTTGATTGGGTCGTAGTTCGACGCTTGGTAGTTGGGGCATAGTTCGACTGTGTTTGGGTTGTAGTTTAATAGTAGTAGTTGCTCAATGGTCTTGTGGTGGTTCTCGGGTGGAGATATGAGATTCTTCAGTCCTTTGAGCTCTTTGTAATATCAAACTATGGTCCTAACCCCCCTCATATAAAAAGTTGGTGTCTATTTATTAGTTTTTAATAGTGGCATGCCCTATAAATATTGCCCAAATCCAGAACACCCTTTTAGACGTCCTGTATTGATTCTCTCAATCATATATCATTTTTTTAGTATTTAAGTGCATTAGTGATGTTAGAATTATACAATTTTGTGCTTGTTGGATTTCTCTTATTATTGTTTACAGGATTACGAGCTTAGGAGATCTCTTCATCCTTCAATTAATATCATAAAATTTTTAATTATGGTTCAAGTGCTTGATTTGGGCATTGATATTCACGCCTTTTTTAGTCGTTTTTATGGGATTATTAGATATCAATACAAATAACATTAGTTTTTTAAGCTCTCTAACTATTTACTCAATATTTTCAGTGTACTTCTAGTAATACAAAATTTAGTTTAGTGCCTATTATATAAGGAAATTGCAATAATAACGTAGAATAATTTATCAAACCTAGCTAAATTATTATTGAATGAGCAATTTATCTAATTCCCAACAAGATATTTATTAAAATAGTAATAAGCATTTTCACCATTGTAAATGAATGAGCTTATTAATATTCCAACCTGTTCATTTATATGCTGTTAATTAAATTTTTTTTAACTTGTTCAATTATCTAAATATATAACTTTAAACAAAATTTATATGAATGAGTCAAATTGTTCATTATGGGCACTAATTGGCTTGTTGCCCTATGGTCGATCGTGAGTTCTTTCATGACTAAAATTTTGAATTGAAATAGATTTATAACTGTGATAGAAACAACTTTATTTGAAGCAAATAACTATAATTTTAATTTTGGCATAACTTTTTCAATAATAGGCCAGACTTTCTTGAGAAATCTTAATTGCCGGACTTCAATCTAGAACCTGCTTTTGAGCTCTTATGCAGACAAAATAAAATAATTCTGTATGGGGGAGAACTAGCTAGTTGGTGATTCTGCAGCAGTTTAAATTCTTGAAGTGCTAGACTCTACATAGATGGTCATTCCGGGGATTTCAATTGGAATATTCTCATGAATTCTTCTTTTGATTGGTGTTATTGGTGAATTCTGCTATTTTCAATGACAAAGAAACCATTTTATCAATTTGCTGGACATCAGTCTTGCTAGCGCTAAATGAGGAACATTTGCAAGGCATATGCTGAGTCAAGAACCAAATTTGACCACTATTTTAACCTCTGTCTTGGTGTTGAAAATAATAGAATCCTGCTTTTATCTTGAAGGTTTTTGACTATCTTGCAGATGTAATACTGTTTATTTATTTATTTATTTATTTTTTCGGCCCTCTTGTATTCCTTCTCTTTAGTTCGTCTTGTCATAGGATGTCTTTCTTGTATATTGTGTATATTTGTTATGTGGAATATTAAATTGAAGCTGATTCGTGCAGGTGTGCTATGGGTAATTGCTACAGTCTACAAAGAGATCATGAAACAGCGCTAAAGAATTTCCAACGTGCAGTTCAACTAGACTCAAGATTTGCCTATGCTCATACGCTTTGTGGCCATGAGTATGCTCTTTTCCACTTAAAGTTTTACTTTTGTTAGTTAAATGTATTCTGGTCTGCATCTATGTAGCTGATTTGTGATGTGTTACTTTTTCCCTCTTTTTTGGCAAATAGAACATGTCAATTTGAATATTTATGGCCGAATTTTTCTTGTGTTTAAATTTGAATTATTTTATAAGGTTATTATCATCTTTTGGATAAGATTAATTTTAAATTTGAATATTTGTTAGGATCGTATATGATTAGATATGCTTTAAAGTTTAAAATAGTTGGCCTTATTTTTGTAACCCTCATTGTTTAAAATTGCGCAATATGAGGCTCGCCTTGAGGCCCGCCTTTGCGCAATTCCAGTAAAAAATGCCTCGATGCTTACGCCTCGAGTTTTTTTTTATGAGGCTTGCGCCTCAACTTGGTTGAGGCCCGCCTTGAGGCCCACCTCGCCTCACTGGCATGAGGCTTACGCCTCACGCTATATATATTAAAACTTACATAAATCTTGAAGTAAATGCTCGACATTGGACTCTATAGGAGAGGAGGAAGGGGAGAGAGTATTTCATCATAATGATGATTCAAATGAAGAATCCCTTAGTGATGACAGTGCTGATGACTTATGAGTTCTTATGTGATATGTCATTGATATTTATTTTTGGAAATTTGAATTATATGTTAATGAAAAGAATACTGTGATTTGGGAAAGATAGAATTTTGACTTGAACTATATTTCATGTTGTCTTATTATTAGGATATTTTGATTTCACTTCATATCTTATGCTTTTTTATATTTTATATTATTCACTCGTTAGTATATAAAAATTTTATCATTTTATGTTTACGCAATCTTTTGATTTTGAGGCTTACGCCTCAAAACGCCTTGAAGCTTACGCTTCGCCTCACGAATGAAAAACGCCTCAATACTCGAATACGCAATTTTAAAAATTGATTATAATGACACATTTTGTAATTGCATGTTATTGATTGATGATGAATAATTTGATTATTTGTGATGATAATTGAGTGCTCTAAAGATCCAAAGTCCAAGTTGTATAATTTCAGCTTTCTGACCTTTGTCCCTACTACGATGAGTTATAATCTTTATTAATATTCTGATTGTTACGTACATGTGGCAGATCTCATTGCTCTGTATGAACAACTAATTATTTAATATCTGCTAAAAACTAGCTTGGCCTTAGTCCTTCAAATTGCCCTAGTGAGATTTACATGCAAGTGAATTCAGTGCTCTATTTAACTACTTTGCTTTCTACTATATAATAATTGAATTACTTTTTGCATGCATGAAAGTACTGAAATTGGTTTTATAATGGAAGAAAATTGATTATTTTGTGATGATAACTGCTTATAGCTGCTTCAAAAATATGTTTTCATTTCATTTAAATATCTTTTGAAGTTACAATTGTATATTGCATCGTTATTGTTTGCAAGCTTGACACACTCCAAAACATGTCAAAAATAACTTTGATGAGTATCTTTCGCAATATTTTGAATTTAACGAGTATATGACCAAGGGCCTGTTTGGTAATGATAAAAGGTTATATCTTAAGAAAATGAACTTTGTTGAAGCATCAATATTCTAAAAACTAATATGGTCACCTTGAAACAAATGATGTTAAAATTATTTGCACAACTAGGTGCCAATAGGGCATCTTTTAGTAGAGCTACTATTGTACCACAAAATCAACCACCTAGCTCAATAATTTATTCCAGAAATCTTGATGAGTTTTTTTAGTGATTTGGACCAACCAATACAACCGATTGCATTGAGGAAGGGTGTTAGGAGATGTACAGGTCATCCAATTAAGAGTTATGTTACTTATGAAGGGCTATCATCATCTTACAAAGTATTTGCTATTTCTCTTGATGATATTCATATTCCTTAGTACAATATAAGAGGCATTGCAAAATTCAGAGGGGAAGAAAGCAATACAATATTAGATTGATTTAAGAAGAGTGGAACATAGACTATCATTGATTTGCTAGTTGGGAAGAAACCTGGGCTATGCAAGTAAATTTTTACTATAAAGTACAAAACTGATGGATCAGTTGAGAGATACAAGGCTCGGTTGGTAGCTAGAAAATTTACATAATCCTATGGGATAAACTATCAAGAAACTTTTGCTCATGTCACAAAGCTTAACACTATCATAATTTTTCTCCTGTTGGATGTCAACCAAGACTGGTACTTGCAACAACTGGACATAAAAATGTCTTTCTGAATGGTGACCTTGAAGAGGAAGTCTACAGGGAAATCCCACCTAGTTTTGAAAAAAGTATGGCAAAGAATTAGGTTTGCAAACTCAAGAATTCCTTGTACGATCTTAAACAATCTCCTAGATCCTAGTTTGCCATATTCACAAAGGATGTTTTGAAGCTATGCTATATACGAAGTCAAGATGATCATACTCTGTCTGTCAAGAAATCTCACGCTATGAAAGTTGCTATATTGATTGTCTATGTCGATGATATTATTCTATTTTGAAATGATGTGGAGGAATTATGGAATTTGAATAAGTATTTGTCATAAGAGTTTGAAGTTAAAAGATCTTGGGAATCTTAAATATTTCCTTGAAAATTAAGTTGCTAGATCAAGAAAGGGCATTATTGTTTATCAATGGAAATATATTATAGATCGTCTTAAGGAGACCAATATGCTTGGATGCAAACATGTTCATACTCCTATTTGTGCAAGTTGAGAGCCGGTCAAGAAAACATCAAGGCATCTCATCTCCCTAACATTGGCAGTGGATGCCCGCCAACATTATCATCAACTCTCCTGTCTTATTCCTAAGTTGGACCTAGTACACCTGAGATTTTTTTCTGGCTTTCTCCATCAAGTTCCTGTCATTTTGTTTGTGTCAAGTGTGAACTGAACCTGTTAATATAAGTAGGCACTTCAAAACATGCTAGTGCTTTCAACATTATCGCACCTAGATGTTAATTTGTATAATCTTTCGTACTAGTTCTTCAAAATATCACTTTGTGGACCTATTTAAATGTGCCTATGAATTGACCCTTTAATTTTATCTTGCAAATATTGCCTGTATAATAAGTATGCTTTTTTTTAATTATTTTTTGCTCGTGGAAGACTTGGTTATTCTTTATTAGATTTAAACGAGAATTTGACCTTTAATAGGACACAATGGAGAAAAAGGATTCATGTAGCCGACCCCACGTAGTGGGATAAAGGCTTGATATTGTTGTTGTGTTGTTGTTGTATTTTTTGCTCTGGATCTAGTCCTTGGCCTGCAGGTTGCGAACATTTTAATAGCTTTGTAATTCATGTCTAATTGATTTCAAACTTTGACGGTGGGGTAACCTTTGGCACCAGTAACTGGCTCTCATTTTTAGCCAGGTGTTCATTAGTAAATGCACTTATTGTAAATTTGGTGATTGCAGGATCTGACCTTGCTTCATCTTGTTTATGCTTATATAGATATATTGCACTGGAGGACTACGACAATGGGATAAGGTGCTTTCATAGTGCGCTCCAAGTAAATGAGAGACATTATAACTCATGGTATGGCCTGGGGATCGTATTCCTGCGCCAAGAGAAATTTGAGTTTGCTGCACATAATTTTCATAGAGCTTATCACATAAACCCACGCTCTTCCATCATCATGTCCTATTTGGGAATGGCTTTGCATTCTTTGAAGGTTGATACTATTTTACTTTGTTGTTTACAAAATAATTGTGACGGGCTGTCTTCTTTTCCTTTGAAAATTCATATATGTTATAAATCATTTTGCTTGTACTTCTTGCTCTTGGGTAATAATATTCATTGCTCAACCTGACAGAGAAATGATGAGGCATTGGTGTTGATTGACAAGGCTATTATAGCTGATAAGAAGAATCCACTTCCAATGTATGAGAAAGCCAGCATTCTCGTAAATCTAGAGAGATATGATGAGGCTCTAAAGGTTTTAAAGCAGCTAATAGAGTTTTCTCCACGGGAGAGTAGTGTTTATGCACTAATGGGAAAGATCTACAAAATACTTAACAAGCATGACAAGGCAATGTTTTATTTTGGAAATGCCCTGGATCTAAGGCCTCCTGCAGCTGATGTTGCAATCATAAAGGTGCCTGCTCCAAAATTCTTTGTTTGCTTTTGCACCTTACGAAATTAGAATGCCATAATCATTTAAGGCTACATAGATTTTGAAATTTCTTATTGTTTATGTTCTTTCATGCATATTGCATTCTTTGACAGATTTGTTCTGGTAGATACAATGCTGCCATGTTTTGAAAATCAAATGCATTGCTGTCAATTTTATTAGTGGAAAGCATATCCTCATTAGTAGTGCTTACACTTGAGGGCTGGGTTGAATGCGCGCTCAGTGCAGCCATTTGGTTGTCTTCATTATTTTGCCCCCCATTGTGATATTATGTTAGAAAATTTTTATAAAGGGTAATTTACTGCATATTAGTTAGATTTATTAGGTTATTATGAGGTATTTTAACGGATCATTGGAGTCTTGGTAGTCTCCTTTGAAGAACAAGGGCGATAAAATATAGAAGAAAATGAGCTTTTCTCTCACCCCCCCCCCCCCAAAAGGATATTTATGTTTTTAAGGCAAAGCTTTAAGTTGCCTAGTTATTATGAGTTTTCACTAATTTTTTTAATATTTTATGCATTTAACTGTTTTGGTTTATGTCATATCAAATTCAAAAATTAAATTCTACTAGCACTACTTCTAATGTAATTGTTAAAGTGCGTATACCCTTTCTATTAGTGGAACTTACTCTGAATGATTATGTTACAGTCTGAAGGTTAATATATTCTTTATGTTTTATACTGTTAATTTATAATTCATTTTACAGTCAGCGATGGAGAAACTGAACTTACCAGATGAATTGGAGGATTCATTGTAAACTAAGTGTTTGGAGGATGGTCTTGCGGTGAACATCTAAAGCCGGCCTGCCTGGGCTTTCGGGTGATTTGTTCTCAAAAGCCCCAATGGAAAAGAAGTTCCCAGAAGCTGGTGCGGGTTAAAGAGTGTAAAATAAACTAGTTTCATTTTTGTAGCATTAGGATGTAATTAGGAGATTCAATTTATTACTCTTTTGAACTGTGTTATGATAAATTCTCATTTTTAAGTGCAAGAGCAAGAGGAGCGAAAAGGAAAAAGTAGTTGTTATTTCATTTTTTATATGGCATTTAATTTTAATCTACAAGTGGCCAGCCCATTTACCTTCTAATAATAGTTCCTATTAAAGTTACTCTAATGCTAAGATACTAACACTAGATAGATTGAGCTGATTTCTGAATATTTTCTTATGAATGGAGCAGTGTTATATTCCTACTCTTACACAATCAGCAGTTCTCTATAGGCAACTGATATTTGCATGACCTGCAGGTATTGTAAGGCCATTTCTTGAAAAGTTTTTATGGTTCTAAACATTCGGTTATTGTCACTTCTCTGGATGTAAGAGAGTTCGTTTTTGTTTTTATATGAAGAAATTTTAAACTTTGATTATTCTTCTGACTTGCATCGGTTGTTGATTCTCAGTTTATCCATTTCTAAGAACACCTGTTGGCGATTACCGTCTTCAATTTCGTCTCCCTCTCTCTGATACCAAATGTGTTCTTTATTTTGAGTTTATGAATTGTTAATTGGTAGTTGATTTTCAGATTATATGTGTTGTAGTTTTTGTCTGATATTCTGGTAGAACGGTCCAGCTTGTCCACACGGGACCGGCTCAGTCGGAACAGAGGCGGAAGTTCCACCTCTCCTGTACGTGCCAAATGAGCCAGCAATTCCATAAAAGTTGTTTAGAAAAGATTTTTTAGGGAGTTTGGAGGAAAGTTGAATGTAAGGATTGTTTAGAGATTTCCTTTGGAATTGTATTCAATTAAATAGTTTATTTTCTTAGGGTTAGGGCATCTTGAATTTGGGCTGAAATTTGAGATCTCTTAGGTTCAAGTTTTTGGAGTCTAGCAGCGTCTAGATATTTGGGAGAGATAGATCCTCCTCTCAAATAGAGAATCAATTGTATATTGTTATTTTTCTTCCGTTAGTTTGATTATGACAATAAAACTACTGTTTTTCTGGTTTTTCCTTTGGATTTGTTAATCGTTCTCGCTGTTTTTATCGAGATAGTTAGGTTTTACTTGAGAATTCCAAGTATTTCCAATCATATTCCTACTTCCCTGCCTATTTTCAAGTGTTAAATCACAAGTTGAACTGTTAATTACAAGTTCCTACTTCCCTGTCTGCTAGGTTGGCCTTATTTGTTTGCATTGCTCTGTTTTCTCTTGTTCTCTCGTGCATTTTCCCTAAAGCAACTTATTATTTCTGTCAATATGATTATTTTTTTTTCATTCCCCTGCTCTGCTCATCTCCTGATTACTAGATGTTTCTGCTGCTTGACTTTCTTTAAACTGATAGGTTCTTAATTTCCAGCTTTTAAAGCTGAAGCCTTAGATGGTAGCTCTTTCTTTTAAATGCTTATCTGGTAGAAAATAATTGCAATTTAATAAATTGAATAATAGATGTTGTGTGTTCTTGCATGTTCTTTGTTTCTTCGTTTGTTGGCAGCTGATATTTTGATTGTTCTTCAATTTTCTTGTTCTTCTGGTTGGGTAAGTTGCAATTGGTTATATTGGAAGTCAAATATGATTTTTTTAGTACTATTATGAATTTTACTGAAAGGAAATGAAAAAAAATCAGAGTTCCAAATTGTCAAACACTTTAATATTCAGATTATCTGACATTTCCAGAGTGTTGAGAGATCAGTTTGTTGTAATTGTCGATTTTTTCCTTAAGTTTGCTCGCTTCTCACTTGTGATGTTTTCATAGAAGGCTTTTTGATTGCAAGCTGTTGGTCCCTCATTTTATAGAGTGATTATTGCGTCCGGACAATGAATGTTTCTAGAGACCAATAAAAAAGTTCTGCATCATTGAGCGCTCAATATCGCGATAGGTACCGACCGCGGTACCACCGGTACCCTCGGTACGTAGTCCGGACAGAATAATTTTTCCATTTTATATATATATTTGGAATTGGGGTATTTACCTGTTGCCACTCCAAAAGGAGCACTTGGTAGCTTAACTAATCCCTCGGTGGAATCTAGCGAGACTTTCTACTGTCATCGGGCCCACACTTATTTTGCCCTACTAAAGAGGCTAGGCCGTAGCATAGGTGATTCGAACTCGGGATGGGGGTTCCCAACCGAACTCACCAACCAATCACCCTAAGCCTAGGTGGGTCTTGGTCCCTCATTTTCAATCAAGGCTTCATTTGGGATAGTTTTTTTTATTTTTTTAAAAAGTTATTTTAAAAAGTAGTGAGAATGTCATCCCAAATGAAATCCAATTCTTATCTAATTGATTAGATTCTTCTCTACTAACCATATAAATATGATCAAAGATGGAATGACTTTGCATAAGCCTATCATCAAATCTCACTCAGTGCACAAATTGAATGGACAAAACTATTACAAGTGGGCTCAATCAGTTCATTTTCACAAGTGGATTAGGAAAATATGATTATCTAATGTGTGCAGTCTTTTCTTTTCAAAAAGATCTAAAATTCAAATCATGGGGATCTGAAAATAACATGGAATATTAGAAGCTGCATGCCTCTACACTCATCATTCTATTAAGAGCAAATTAAAAATGCTAAAAAGGGTGTTCAGCCAACTACAAACTAGCTAATTTCAGCAACATTTAACATCAGCATCAGATCACTCACTCAAAAATTTAAGGCTGCAAATACCTTTAGATTGTGGATTCAGGAGTATCAGATCACATGGTTGGACATATACCTTTATTTCATAAAATATTCTCTTATTTTATGGAGTATTATGTAAAGATTACCTATGAATATAATGGAGAATCAACATCTTATAGTTAATATTCCCAAATTTGCCATGAAAATGCATTATGTTACTAAATTTTTTTCCTACTCATTGAGTTTTAGGATGTGATATTAGGGAGGATGATTTGGCAATGCTAAAGGAAATGCTTGACTCTATTTCTTGAAAACTAAAAAAATTTTATGTTACAAATAAAACATGTTCAGTATATATTTTGTTCTAAAATGAGTGTAGTAATATTATGATGTATTTGTCTTTGTTATCCAATATTCTTATATTTTTCAATAATTAAAAACTTGAATTATTTCAATATAAAATTTATCAACCATCTAAATATATCAAGAACATTTAGCCTACACACCCTACAAAATCACTCAACCTTTCTTTATCATTCATAGTGGCATATAGGGACCACCATTGTGTGACCAATATCTTTGTGGTTGGGTGGTTCATTCATTTATAAATGATCATAGTAGAGTTATTTGGATTTTTTTTAATGAATGAGAATTATAGAATTTGTTAAATTACTCAAAAGTTTATCTTTATAAGCATTTACATCAGTGTGATGTCATGATGGAACAACTTAATCTAAAACAGGACCAATACACAACAATCTTCATTTTTGTCAAATTTTACTATCAAAGAACAAACTGTGCGCCTGTTGCGATTTGACCAGCTCCTTGCGCTAACTCCACGAGAAAACCTATCGAGCCGAGCTCAATCAAGCTTGCTCTCAACCTCCACTGTGCATGCCAATTAACGGCTCCAACTCATTCTCCTGTGCATTCTAAACCACACGCACCTACAACCCTTGATGTTCCTCCTATGATACGCATGATCATGCCTTGTGCATCACCAATCTTCCCCAAACACCCATATGTGCTTCAATCTGTGACTTTGCATGACACATGTCCGATTACGAGTCTACGACCAACCTATCTTCCCGAGGTTCTTGATCTTGCCTGTTTTGATCAACTGCTCTGATACCCAATGACCAAATTACCCTGAGGCTTCACCTCAAAGATCTAAACATATCTTTAATCAACTCCCCGATCCCACTCCTTGCATGCCTACCTTCCTTTTGCACAATCGTCCAAACCTGAATTCACTTATAGTCGAATCGAGTGTCTCGACTATATGAATCCATCGAGCCCAAGATTGATGAATTCCAATATCATTAAGAGTTTCAAATGTCTGACGAACGGCCCACGATCAAGTGATTCAATATCGGTCATCCATCTGAACCTCTCCACATTTTTCATTGTCCTCTTCATATTTACGGGTCATGTCATCCTAAAAAAACTATAAATAGCCCCTCATTTCTCTTGAGAGGGGACAGAAGAAAGAGAAGTAATAAGAGGAGAAGAGGAGAATATGAGAGAAGAAACCCCTCCTCGACCACCATCGTAGTTCCGCCTGACTTTCAAGTAATGCCGGAATTCCGCCCGACCTCTAAATGACGCTGGAATTCAGCCCGACCTCCAAGTGACGTTGGAATTTCACCTGAACTCCAAGTGACACCGGAGTTCTGTCCAACCTTCAGGTGATGCTGAAGTTCTACCCGAACTCCAAGTGCTGCCAGAATTCCGTCCGACCTACAAGTGACACCGAAATTCTGCCGAACTCCAAGTGACGGTGGAGTTCTGCCCGAATACCATCTAACGTCGGAGTTCTCCTCGGCCGCCAATTGACGTCGGAATTCTACCTGACGTCGGATCTCTGCTCATCTCCAAGTTTCTACTCTATTCCAGACTTCTACCTATTATCAGACTTTCACCATTGGATTTCTATCCATTGTTGGATTTCTACGTGACACCATCCTTCTAACCTTTGTCGTTAGACAATAGTCTTTCTGACCTTCGTCGTCCGCCGATTAAAGTCCTTATGACTTAGGTCTCCCACCGACTACAGTCCTTCTGACCTCTATCGCCCGCCGACTACGGTCCTTTGGACTTACGCAGCCCACCGACTACAGTCCTTCAGACCTCCGTTGCCCGCTGACTACGGTCCTTCCGATTTATGTCGCACATCGACTACAGTCCTTCCGACCTCTGTCACCCGCCAGCTACGGTCCTTCTGACTTATGTCACCCACCGACTACAGTCCTTCTGACTTTCATCGCCTGCCGACTACAATCTTTCTGACTTACATTGCCCACTGACTGCAGTCCTTCCGACCTCCGTCACCCGCCGATTACGATTCTTCTAACTTACATCGCCCACTAGCTACAGTCCTTCAGACCAAACAAACACATCAACAGTGATTCTTTATATTCTCATCATGTAATGTACTCTATAAGATGTGCATCAAGTTAAGGCCTTCCCTCAAGGATGGGTCTCATTTGTAATCAATTGCAATACTAGTGGATTCATTCGAACTGGGCTAGGCCCCGTGGTTTTTAGGGGTTTTCCATATAAAAATCTTGGTGTCTCTAGTGAATGACGTACCCTCTCTTTTTATCTATGTGTGTGCTGGATCTTTGTACAATGCTAAGACATCAAACTTTATATTTTTCTACTGCCGCGAATACTCCAGGACGCAACAATTCTAAAAAGAATAACTTATACACTTTATGAATGTAATGATTTTTAAAAGCTAGACCTTTCTCAAACCTCACATTCAATGAGATAATTTCAACACTCGTCATGAATATGAATTTTTTATCCATACCATACCTCTAACTCCCACCGACCTCCCTAAAGCTAAAAAATTGATGACTTTGAGAATTTCTTAGGATCACATTCAATAAATAGGATATAAAGGTATGGTTTATGCCATACATTAGAAAAAAATTAACGAGTATTTGTGAATCAAGCATTTCTTCACAACAAATCTACCTATTTGAACTAGGCTTTGATCATTTTTTTTCAATGTAACACTACTTTTGACCTTGATATCTCAAATGCTTACATGAAAGTTACAAGTAAGATAAATTTTAAATAACGTATTCGATCAGTAATAGCTATCTTACAATAATTTATCTCCTCAATTGCATGCTTTTACAACTAATCTTTCTTGTAAATCATCCCCAATAACATTCCCAATATAGCTTCGATCCTTATCCAGAGCCCTGGCTTTTGTGACCTAGGAGGGATAGGAGGATCGGTCTTGTACCCAACCCAGGTCCAAGGGTGATACCTTACCGGCAGGGTGGCAGGGACAGGGGCCATAATTAGATTACAAGTAATTCCAAATTCTTACACGGATGAGACTTATCACACCTGATCAGTGAAAAATTATCTGGCAAAACGCAATTCGTCGATTTCAATCTAAGGTGCACCTTAAGATCTACACATGAAATGTAGTTTCATCTCCTTCCGCGGACCAGTTAAGATCTAGCACTTTAATCCCCTGAAGACCTAGCTGTTGCCGCTCGGGACAGGATTCTACGAGTAGCCAGATTATACTTTATAAGGGGTCTGAAATTCCCCTCTGTCCATGAACGCATTTGCCCGATTGCTTTCAGAGAATTACTCCTTTACTCTACAGAACCAGCATAGCTCGCAGACGAGCACACTAATGAGGCTCGGACTGATAATGCGGGGAGGAACTCTGTTTATAAAGAAATAAAAGCTCTAAAAAAGAATGGCTTGCGACAACTCTTGATCTTATCCAAGGAAAAAAATTATTAGATGCAAATGGATCTTCAATACTAAAGATACAAAGCTAGAAATATTATCAAGATTGATTGCAAAAGTTTTTACTCAAATTTATGACAAAGATAAAGTTTGTTAACTTGGGGAATCCTTATTTTGCTTAAAGAAATCTTCAAGAGTATGGTTTGAGAGATTTATTGCAGCCTTTAATAAGAATGGGTCCTCTCAACTCTCAAGCTTTAATTGATCACACCATATTGATAAAAAAAAGTCACTCATTGGTCAAATCACTATCTTGATTATCTAAGTTTATGATTATGTTAGCTAGTAATTATGAGGAAGACATCAAGAAACTAAAATGGATTTTAGCAAATGAATTTGAATTTAAAATCTCGGAGCCCTGAAATATTTTGTTGAGTATGAAAATTATAAGATCAAAGAAATGTATATCTTTCTCGAGATAAAATAACCAACGGATTTTTTTGTTTTAAATGATGATGGGATGCAGAATTTTATCAACAAAATATGATCAAATGATGGCACTCACCATGTTTTGATAAAGAAAGGTGCTAAGATTTAGCCAGAAAAGTTATCTTTCATTCTAATAATCCTTTTGACATATATTACTCTATTTACATGATTAGTCAATTTAAGAATATTCCCACAAAGGAACACCTTGATGCAATTTATAGGATATTATTATACCTAAACTCTTATGAAAGGTCTATTTTTCAACCAAAAAAAAAAATATGAGGAAAGCTCTACCATTGAGGTAGTGCGCGTTGCGAGGGGACAAGCACGATGAGTGGACGGGGACAAGTGGGCGAACGCGATGGATAGCAAAACAGATCAATTTCAAGTTATTATTGGGTTTTTTGTTTAACCCAAATCTGACTCGAAATTGCAATCAACTTAGAACATGGAACCCGAACCAGTCATGTTTTCCAGATGGGTTACTCTGATTCAAAATTTTTGTGTTTGGTCAAATATTGACATCCCTGAATCTAAGAGTTAATTTGAAGTTCAATCATTTATCAACTCTCTTTGAAATTAGGGTTTGGCCATAAACTAAATATTTCCTTCAACAAATTTTCAAATTGATTTTGAATGCTCTTGAATATGTTTAAAGAGGCCAACTTTCATTGATTTGAATTTTTTAAAAATAATTATGCTGAGTTTGTATTATTATTAAGCCTCATTACTAACAACCAAAATTTTACTTTTATCAACAATCAAAATTTATTTTTTAAAAAATCAAATTAGATCATCAAATGTTCTTATTTTGTTGATAAACCTTAATAATCTTGATCTTTCATTTTATTAAGACTTCTTTGGAAATCTTAGTTCAAACTTTGTTGATAGCGGTGGTCGGCGACGGCTTCTCCTCTTGCTCGCGGAGAGGAACATGAATAAGCTTCCATTTTTAACCAATTCTAGGGTTTCCATTCTTTCCTTCTTACAAAGAATTTTATCCACTGACCAACTTGCATCATCATTCTCCTGTGATTTAACTCTTCAAATTGAAAAAAAATGGATTTTCACCACCTGCAAGCTCTACTAACAGCCTCCACAGTTTCCAACTCTTTGTCAAAGGGAAAGCTCCTTCACGCCAAGGCAATCTCTCTCGGACTGCAACAAAGTCTCAATCTTTGCAAATCTCTCATCAACTTCTACGTCTTCTTCCGTCTCTTTGATTCTGCGCGACTTGTTCTCGAAACAATCAACAACCCATTGGATATTTCCTTGTGGAATAGCCTCATTGCAGCATATTCCAAGAATCAAATGCACAGAGAAGCCCTTTGGCTATACGATAAGTGTTTTCTCTTTCCATATGTTAAACCTGATTCTTACACTTATCCAAGTGCTCTGAAGGCTTGTAGTGGATTGGGCAATGGAAGGAAGGGGAGGATGATTCATACCCGTCTGTTGAAATCAGGTTTCAGTTATGATATAGTCATCTCGAGTTCTCTTGTTGGTATGTATGCGAAATGTGGGTTTTTTTACTCTGCTATTAAGCTGTTTGATGAAATGCCCGAGAGGGATATTGCTTGTTGGAACACAGTTATATCTTGCTATTATCAAGATGGGCATGCTGTAGAAGCTCTTAAGATGTTTGAGAAAATGACAAGGTGTGGCTTTAAGCCTGATTCTGTGACCTTCTCCACAGTTTTCTCGGCTTGTGCAAGGCTTTTGGATGTGGAAACAGGGAAGAGGATACATGAAGAGATGGTGAAGAGTGGGTATGAGATGGATGGCTTTGTTAGGGCTGCTATTGTTGACATGTATGGAAAATGTGGCCATTTGGCAAGTGCAAGAGAAATCTTTGATCAGATACCTATGAAGAGTGTTGTTGCCTGGAACTCAATGATATATGGATATTGTTTGCAAGGGGATAGGAATTCATGTTTGGAGCTTTTCTCAAGGATGAAGTGTGAAGGAATCAGGCCTACTTCGAGTACTATAAGCAGCTTGTTGAGAGCTTGCTCTAGAACTTCTGCTGTATGGCATGGAAAATACATTCACGGATATGTAATACGAAACCAGATTGAGGTAGACATTTTTGTTGCAACTTCACTCATTGATTTTTACTTTAAATGTGGCAAAGTCAGGTGTTCTGAGTTTATCTTCCAAAAAACTCTTAAAAATAATGTAGTTTTGTGGAATGTTATGATTTCAGGTTATGTAACATTAGGCTATTACTTTGAAGCTCTTGATGTTTTTCATGATATGAAACTCTTTGATGTAAAGCCAGATGCCATTACTTTCACTAGCTGTTTATCTGCTTGTGCTCAATTAACTGCTCTACAGCAAGGGAGAGAGATCCATGAGCAAATCTGTAGTAATAATTTTGAGTCTAATGAAATTGTCATGTGTGCACTTGTTGAATTGTATGCTAAATGTGGCACAGTCAGAGAAGCACGAGCAGTTTTTGACAAGTTGTCAATCAGGGACACAGTGTCATGGACATCAATGATTATGGCTTATGGCTCTAATGGCCAGGCTATTGAAGCTTTGGAGCTTTTCAGAGAAATGCAGAGGGTGAAGGTAAGACCAGACCGTGTTACATTTCTCGCTCTAATGTCCGCCTGTAGTCATGGAGGAATGGTTGATAAGGGTATCTATTATTTCTATCTCATGACATCTGAATATCATATTAAACCGGGCTTGGAACATTACTCGTGCCTAATTGATCTTCTTGGACGCTTGGGGAGGTTGCATGAAGCTTACAAGTTTATTCAGAGCTTACCAGTTTTAAAAGAAGATGTTGGTTTGTTAGGATCTTTTTTCTCTGCTTGTATTGTACATGGAAACTTGGAATTAGGAGTGGAAGCTGCCAGGCTTCTTCTAGAGATTGAGCCAAATGATCATTCTACCTATATTGCTCTGTCCAATATGTATGCTTCTGCTGGAAGATGGGATGAGGTGCGCGAAGTGAGAGCAAAAATAAAGGAGATGGGGCTAAGGAAGAATCCTGGATGTAGCTGGATTGAAATAGACAAGAAAATTCACCAATTCTTTGTGGAAGATTACTCTCATCAACAAATAGAGTTGATATGCGGATGTCTAGAGAATCTTTTAATGCACATGGAGGATAAATTTAATATACAAGAGGAGGGTTCAAGCATTAAAAAATGTATGAGAAGTTAATATTTCAGCCTGGCCACAAAGAAGACCCAGTTATCCTAGTTATTGTCGGTAATTGTTTTTCTAAGCCTATTTGATTGATGGAGACCATGAAAAACATCAATTACTGAAAGATGCCCAAAGCAGTTGTTCGATTCGAAATTTTTATTGAAGGGTGATTTTCTTTGATATCAGAAACCAGCAATCTATTTTGGTAAGGTCTGTGTTTGTTATCATATTAAGACTTTATTTGGGACGGCTTTCTTTCTGTTCCTTAAAGTAGCTTTAAGTTTTAAGAAGCAGAAAGAAAGCTGTCCGAAACAAAGCCTAAGGCTTTGTTTGGGACAACTTTTTTAATGCTCCTTAAAGCATCTTTTTAATACAAAAAATTAAAATTTTTGTACTATAAAGCTGTTTTAAGAAGCAATAAAAAAGCCGTCACAAACGAAGCTTAAGTCTATGTCTATCTTAATTTCGTCAAACAGGTCTGCAGATTCTTGCACAAATACAATGCTAAGATATGCCAATAGCTCTATAAAGTAGATGAGGATACTATATAGATTGTGTGGAGGTTTCCATGACAAGGATCATCCAAACAAGCTAATATGTAAGATATAGGCTTCGTTTGGGACGGCTTTTTTACTGCTTCTTAAAACAACTTTCTACTAAAAAATCAAAATTTTTATAAAAAAAAAATTGCTTTAAGAAGCAATATAAAAGCCATCCCAAACGAAGCCATAATCAATATATATACAACTAATTTGAGGAAGAGTGTTTGAGTAATTTTCAATATGTGAACAAAATATTCCATCTATAGGAAATAGTGGACATAAGCTTTTCATATATAGCAAACTAATACTATATTGACAACATCTTTCCATATAAAATAATACAAAAAATAATGGATAGCAATATTCCATTTATATTGTGCAGTTAATTATAGATTTTAAAATTTAAGATTAATTTTCATATTTATTTCTTTCCTATAGTTAAGATTAAAAATCAGTGTCAAATCATCTTATAGTTCATAGGTAGTAGATATGACTATCAAAGAACTCCAAGACATTTAGTAAGTCTTAAGGTCTCGTTTGAGATAATTTTTTTATTGTTTTCTAAAATATTTTTTTAGTACAAATTTTTTTAAATTGTATTAAAAAGTTACTTTAAAAAGCAACAAGAAAGCTGCCCAAGATAAATCATAAATCATATAAGGTTGATTTATATTAAATGCTTTTGCTTAATATATAATATTATATCTTTTATTAATACAAATAATTATTATCATAAAATATATACAATATGCTCATTTATACATCAGCCAACAATGTTAGACAGATATAAATTTCTTTTATGTCATTTAAATTTATTTAAGACGGTTTTTTTATTGTAGAAAATTGCTTTAAGAAGTAGTATAAAAAAGCTGTCATAAATGAAACCTAAATATAAAAACCTTAATCGTCACCAATAATGTAAAATGTAAAATCTCTTTACATTCATGAAGATATACGCAACATCATTAAATTAAATCATTATGATGAAGGTCATTATATTAATAGAAACTTAGTCTCTTATTGTTATAAGAATATATGTACTTTCAAAAATACTCTTTAATAGCTAAAAGAATGGTATATAATATACATGGAAAATAATATGAATCATTTGATGGAGCGTTCTCAATTTTCATTAGAAGTATTTCATAAAAATATTTAAATACTTTTTATTATTATTTAGACTTTATAAAATAACTTAAATATCACTACATAAAAATCATTTTTAATTTTTATTGAAATATATAAATCCAAGTATATATAATAAGTAGGCTATATGATTTAATTTATCATCATTAAATGCATAAATGAATAGACTTAATTAAAATTCAAATTCAACTGAAGCTCAACAAGAAAATTTATAAGTAAACATCAACAAAAATTTATGTAAATCACCATAAATTCATTTGAGAAAATTTAGATAACCTGAAGAGTAGAGGGCTTCAAAAGTATTTTTTTAATACAAATATAAAATTTATTTAATTCATAATATAGTAATCTTACATTAAGATCTTCATAATTATGTAATATTAATAATAATATTCATTTCAATCATTCAATCATCTAAACTTTAAAACAAAAATAAAAATAAAAATCTATTCTAATAACACTTGCAGAAGCTATTATGCTACAATTCTATCAAGTAAATAGTCCACTTTACAAAACGGCAAAAGACATTAAAAGACTAAGTCAGCAGCCATTAAAATCCTGTGCAAGAAATTGATGATTAATTTGACAACAAAATCTTAAAAAATAAGTCTAATGGTCCTTCTCATCATCAAAATTCAGAACATGATGAGAGTGAATCAGAGAACAATAGCAAAATAACCAAAGAAAAAAAAGAAGAAAATCTAATAGAAGAAGCGCACAAGAAGACATTATATAGGCACATGTGTCCAAACTAGAACCAGATTTCTACCACCTAAACTTGCATTACAAGACCTAGGCTATCTATCCCTGAGCCAAAGAGGCAAGATGCCCTTACTATTCTTTAAGACAATTTCCACTTCTGCAACCTTCCTCTCAGTAGCCCAAACCGCAGAAACACCCAAGCCCTGAAAATAAACTAAAGAAACCACTAAATAATGGTCAATAGGCTAATCCTGTATGATTTTTTTGTTTTGTACAGTTTTTTAGGAGTTCCAAATTCTGGGTGGGTCAGAAAGCTGAATCTGAAAAGCTTTGCCATTAGAAGCATCAGTAAAATCTATTCTCAATTCTGCTTCGAAAATAACTGTTTGATGGTAAGAAAACTACAAATCAGACTGTTCAAAAGGAGCGCGAACAAATAACTGGCCATGCAATGTAACAACAGCAGATGTTTGATGAGGGTCAATCCGTGAGGGTAATGTGATCACCTGGTTACAGGCAGCTATTTTTTGTTAATAACAGAACGAGGAGAAGTTGTTCTTGAACCAAGTGAAAAAATCCAACGCGCAGGCTTACCTTTTTAAAAGGAGTAACACCCCAAGGATTATCAGGCTGTTCTGGTTCACCTGATATGATCAAACGTCCTGCTGGATCTGACTGAACATGTACCTGAAATAATCCAAGATTTGGGTGTTTAACTTCTCTTAATAATGAAAGTAATAACTTATTGGGCAAAAGGAAAAATTCAAAATAATATATTATGGCACTGTCATAAACTTTTCTTATAGTTTGTGCAGTGACAAAACTGATTTACTAGGAAGTTGCCAAACAAATGATTCAGGTTTCATTTGGGACGGCTTTGTTACTGCTTCTTAGAACAACTTTGTAATATAAAAATTAAAATTTTGTATTAAAAAACTGAAACTGCTTTAAGAAGCAGCAAGAATGCTGTTCCAAACAAAGCTTCAGCTTCATCAGGTTCGTCTTTGAATGAATTCTCGAACTCAGAGTAAACAAGTAAGATTACAGATCTAATTCCATTCAAAACTTTAGCAGTCAACAGTAGAAAGCATGAATCCCATTAACTTGTCCAATAAGCCTTGCCTCTTCACGCAGGAGTCCCGGAACTAAAGCATAGACTTCGTAGCAATCTTTCTGCACAATAAAACACACTACAATATTATAGCAGAGGAGAAAATTCAAATAAAAAAATTATAATAACGCATATAAAATATTTCACTTCATAGGCACATAAACTGTGATAAATAACATTGTAGATGCACTTGACAAACGTTACAGGAATTAAAATAATGCAAATTTGTTTCTCATATACTGACCGTTCTTCGCACATTTATCTTCACCCAATCAGCAGGTGCCCCAACATCAACCACCATGGAGTCCACTCTGTCAGGAAAAGATTCAATATAATCTCTTATTTGTAAGAATCACTAGGATTTTATTATATATATGAGCGTGTGTCTATAGAAAGAGAGAGAGAGAATATAACACAACATAACATACTTAAAGTATGTATCATAAATAGTTTATTATGCATTATATATCCTATGCGATATATATATATATATATATCATAATTAACTAAGTACTAACTATATTGCCAACCACAGTTAACTCAGATAATTTAATTCACAATAAATATTTGTTAATAAGTATATTTTAATTTCCTAAACACTAGTATAACCTATTAAACATACCGTAGAAATTAATTAAGCAATCGTATCAACTATTTTGTTTACGGGAAAGATCTTAACTGAGGCTTGAGACTTTTTGTGCGCGCTACTTTAACTGCACGTTCAAGACTAGAAGGCTTCTTCCTCTTTAGGGGTTGACCTTAATCAAACATACAGGAGATCAGAAGAAATTAGACAATAATCTGATGTCAAAAGGAAAAAAAAAACAGCTAAATAAGAATTACCAAAGGACTTGAGATGTTTATCCTTCTTGAAAAGAGAAACTGAACCCTTCTCCTGCAAAGGGAGAAGACAAATAACATATTGCAGCAAACCTAACACCATTCATACCAAATGGAACCTTATTGCAAAAGTGAAATCCATGAAAAACTTTAAAACCTTTATAATTGGATCCCCGACTTCACCGTTACCAAGCATTCTCTGAGAATGCCAGCCCTGCATAGCACGCGCAGCAGCATCTCTTCTAGCTCGGCCTGATCCTGATGCCTGATTGCTCACAACAACCTAAACAAAAGAAAAGGAAATAAATAAAGAGGACTCATTAAAATATATAAAAATGTGACGTTCAAGCAACTAATAAATAAAGCCATGGAAAGGGACACTTGCCAGAGTAGGATTTTCATTGTGTTTTCTGACAAATCAAAATTAGTATGTGCAGGATTTTGTAAAGTAAAACATCAGGCTTTACTATTGAAGTATTAGTTTCATTGTCACATGTAATGTTAACACAGCTTTTAGTTAATAAATCTTTCAATACCATTATACCTGCAAAATTTGTTTCAATAAAAGTTGCACTTGCAGGCTTGCAGCCAGCTTTAGGAATAATAATAATAATAATAATAAGATTTACATTTCTACATTTTATTGAGAATTATTAAATATCACATGGTCTTGAAAAGAAAAATCTCTATGGATAACCAAATGATAATATATGCAAAGAATGAAATGCTGGAGAGGAAATATTGCTAGAACAATTACATTCAACCAAACAACATCAGTATTTGCACTCTCAGTGGCAACACAGAATTTCAAATGCCATCTAGCAACACAAAATTCAACTTAAGATAAGCTAATTTCAGTTGTGCAATTAGTCAAATTACAAAGAAACCATTTGGTGATCATTGGAGTTCTGTATTGTGCTGAGAATCTCCGGGACTACATGGACAGAGAAACAAATGCAACTAATTACTATCTCACAAATTTAAATTTATAAATCATAACCGTTTTAAGCATGTGATAAGAAATACTTGAGTTCGCAAGTAACCCTAGGGTAATACTTGAGTTCGCAAGCAAACCTAATCGAAATCGGTGGGGAAAACAGCAAGAAACTGCTGTTTTCAGCAGTGGACAGCAACCAACACAGGATAAAAGAGAAATTTGAAGGAAAAATCAGGAAACAACTTGTATTCAACTAGTAGATGATTGAAAACAACAAACGATACAATGTTCTTCAATTCGAGAGGAAGAACAACTCTCCAAAACTCTCTAGTAAAGTCTAGAGCCCAAAGCCTAGGTTTGGCTTTTGGAATTCCTAATTTATGGTGACTATTGGGATTCCTAATTTATGATGACTTTTGGGATTCCTAATTTATGGTGACTTTTTGGAATTCCTAATTTATGGTGACTTTTGGGATTCCTCTTCTCCAATTTATGAGGGTTGTTTTGTGGGCTTTTGGGCAACTTCTTCCCTCCTATATATAGGATTGTTTTGGGCTGTTTTAGAAGTATGTTTTGGTGAGAAAATATTTGGAATGTGAAACCTGCGGGTTGTGTTCTAGCTTGCAAGCTAGTTCCCTTTCTCTTCTCCTCTCTTTCATTTCGTCGCAGGCTTCTTATCTACAGTACTTCTTCTCTCTATGGTTACCACTCCATTGTATCTTTCTTCTCAACTTATCTTATTATCAATGTATTAGGTGTTTAAGTGTCTTTTAACGTGCCTTTGTTATCTTATCATCTATAATTTGTAGTTTTGTCATTAAGTCATCCTATTAGTCGCTTTTTTTGGTATATTTGGTATGAAATTGGTCAATTTTGGAAGACTTGCAAATTTTGTATTTGTAGGCAAATTTTCTTGTCTACATCAAAAATGGTATAAGAGCGGGTTGTCGAGTGAGTCTTGGTGTCATGAGAGTTTTAGAGTTGTGGGCTGATTTTTGGAACTAAATCTGAGGGTTTTTTCTTCCTTCTTTGGAAAAGCTTGCTAGCTTGTTTCGTGCTTCTTCCCTTCTAGGAAAGCTTGCGAGCTTGTCCTCTCTTCGTCTTGGGCTTCTTACCTCTTTCTCCTCGCCGCAAATGACCACCCCATCTGTATCTTTCGTCTCAAATCAAGAAAAGAAAGTTTAGGTGTTTGTTTTTACATAGGTTTGTAAGAGTCATTTTTTATAATATAAAAGTTGTATTTTGTTATTTCAAGTTATAAAGAAAAGTGTCTTTGTTTCTTATTTTGTCTATTTTTTAGAATTTGGTGTATTTTCTATTATCCTAGGAAGTGTTACTTTTTGCTTGCAAAAATTAGGGGTTGTCTTAATTTTTGCTTGAATCAAATTGCTATAAGAGCTTTTGGTTGTGTGCAAGTCTTTTTGTGAGTCTTTAGAAAATATATATTTATAATAATGAGCAGTCCAAACCATCATCCTTTTGGGAATCTCAAGTCAAGGGCAGATAAAATTTCAAGATTAATATGATCCTGCCAATGTTGAAAGTTAAACACCATTGCCCAGTACTCATGAAGTTGGCATTCCAACAGACATCGAGCTCTCTCCCAAAGAAGATTCAACAGACCCGATTCAAAATGAACTGTACAAGATATAAAGATTGATGTAATTATGTGACGAGAAATTTAAGAAAAGAACCAAGGTACTTCTCGCTGAATTTAATCAAGAAAAGGAATTGATTGAACAGAAGTATGCTGCTATGATTGAAGAATTGGAGCAGTCAAACAAAGAAAATTCTGAATTGAACACATCAGGAGATCAGGTTTTTCCACCATGGGAGAATTGATGCAAGCAAAATGGGAAGAGCCGACTGGTTCTTGGTTGCTTGGGTTGGTTGTTCGGTTCCCTGCCCGTTTGGCTGTTCGGATGACTGTCTGTTGGCCTTTTGCCTCCTCTTTTCTAATTGGTTGAGTGAGCGGATGATTTGGCTTTGGAATTCCTAATTTATGATGACTTTTGGGATTCCTAATTTATGGTGACTTTTGGGATTCCTTTTCTCCAATTTATGAGGGCTGTTTTGTGGGCTTTTGGGCTACTTCTTCCCTCCTATATATAGGATTGTTTTGGGCTGTTTTAGAAGTATGTTCTGGTGAGAAAATATTTGGAATGTGAAACCTACAGGTTGTGTTCTAGCTTGCGAGCTAGTTCCCTTTCTCTTCTCCTCTCTTTGATTTCGTCTCGAGCTTCTTATCTACTTCTTTTCTCCATGGTTACCACTCTATTGTATCTTTCTTCTCAACTTATCTTATTATCAATTTATTAGGTGTTTAAGTGTCTTTTAACGTGTCTTTGTTCTCATATCATCTATAATTTGTAGTTTTGTCGTTAAGTCATCCTATTAGTCATTTTTCCGGTATATTTGGTTTGAAATATGTCAATTTTGGAAGACTTGCAAATTTTGTATTTGTAGGCAAATTTTCTTGCCTACATCATCATCATCCCTTCTTCATCACTTCTTTCAAAAGCTTATTTGGAACTATAGTTAGAGGTTTATAGCAGAATAAATAGCTATTCATAAAATCAACAAGACAAGAATTTGGGCTTACCAAGATATCAATAATGATTTATAGCGCATGTGCATAACATTATTTTGAACATGGAACCTTTAATATTGACTCCAACAATTACTACAAAAAGGAACCTGAATTATGCACATACTACATAAGTTATCCGATTAAAAATTGTACGACTGAAAGATGCCAAAAGCCCAAACAGAAACTGATAGTCCTTCATGTTGAAGACCATGGGTGTAGGACCCACTCAATCAGCTACTTCCCGCATCCGTCCCGCATCCGCCCACTACAAGTTTACAATCTAGGTAGAAAAGCTATGGCTCCCACTATGTAGACAATCATAATATGATCTATTGAGCACACAAGTTGAGGATATTAGCCATTAGATCTTCTCTCTCTCAAACTATGGATTGCAATTAATGTGCTCCTCTCCCTTCACCAAGCCGGCCCCCTCAACTTTTTTAGACTTTTGTATTTATTTTGTGTAAATAGCATTTACCTTTTTTCATATGTAATATCCTTGGAGGAGCAAATAAATGTCATCAATCTATGTACATCAATGGAAAAATTAAATTCACAGTAATTTTTCATATTTCAATATTTCTACACTTCATAGATTTTTTAAGACAAATAAGCCTGGTATATACAATTTACAAGTAATAAGTAAATTCAAGCAACTTCATAGCCACAAGGCGCTACCACAAGTACCATTTTTGGTTGTAGTATCCAAAGGGAAGACATGTAAGTTTTTTAATGTATGTTACTAAAATCCTTGAAAATTTTTCACAAGAAAAACAGAAAATGATTATCAATTTGAAAGCAATATAAATACTTGAAAAGGTAAGGAAAAAAGCCTAAATTGCAGGAAAATAACAAAACGTAACAATAAACAGAAAAAACTTTTAAACAACAAAATCAAAGAAGCCCACCTGACTGTCCACAGATACAGGCTCAGGAATAGAGGCCACAGGTACTTGGAGCTCACCAGTACGAACCTTGTGTTTCTCATACTCAAGAAGAGCCTAACAAATAAAATGATCAGCTGGATGAAAAATGTTGGCAGAAAAAATCCCACCAATCATATAAATTTACTGTTCTTTCAACAGGCAACCAATCCTTTTAAGCATATAAAACTAAAGATCAGATTGATCTAATCATATAAATATAAAAAAAGTAAAATAGGTGAAACATTAATTTCATCATAATATACAAAAAATACACTTCAAACACACAAAGTTACTAAAATTGTCATCATGTTTAGGCTGAGAGGAGTAAATGACTGGATCATGGGGCATTCTGAACTTGACTCAATATAAGCTCAAAAGCCATTCAATTTTTAATCTTTAACGGAGCAACGTTGACCATAAGCTGATTCAAATTGAACTCAATTCAAGCCAAGCTTGCCTTATTTATTCCACTTCAAACTCAATCAAAGACAAAGATTGATTCTACTTTCATCACAATTTTCGATCTTCTAAACCAAATTTTAAGCCCAACCTACATTATTTTGCACAAATCTTTTAATAAACTCTATCCAAGCTTCCTTTGGCATGCCCATTTTTTTTAAGTTTTTTGTAGTCCTACTTCAATTTTATAAGCTTGTCTTATTGACGCATCTTCCACTCGCTAGTGTGAATGCCCAAAACAACTAAGCTCATTTCTACTATCTTTTATTCAATAAATATTATTATCAATATCCCTCTAATATAATCATCTCTCAATGATGCAGAACTACATGCGAAGTAGGAAGCTTGCACAAAATAGTTAAAGAACAATTTCAGATTTTCATTATTAGCGATTAAAATAACAAAGTAAAACTAATAAATGGTCACTTCCATTTAGGCTAAGATACGCGAGAGACTAAACAAAGTCAAAATATTTAAGAAAATTAAAGCAATGCGTACGAAGTAGCTTTCATTACAACCTTGATCTAACAAGAGGTCTAAAAGCAAAGAAGTAGCAATCCTACGTTACTAATGGATGGTGACATTGAAACAAAATCTCTTGCTTGAACAATCTCTCTAATGAATCAATGAAGAGTATCACCTTTGCGGAGAATCGTCTTGATACACCTCTCGGATGGTAGCTAAAGAAAGAATCTTCTTTTATAAGCGGAGAGAGGTTACGTCCCAAGTGTTCTTCCAAAATCCAGAAAAACGTTTCAGAATTTTGGAACCAAAATCTGAGCCCAAAATCTTTGCAGAGAATCGTCTTGATACACCTCTCGAATGGTAGCAAAAGAAAAAATCTTCTTTTATAAGCGGAGAGAGGTTACGTCCCAAGTGTTCTTCCAAAATCCAGAAAAAACGTTTCAGATTTTGGAACCAAAATTTGAGCCCAAAATCTGAGAAAACCTTCAGTTTTCTATGCTTAGGAGTAAAGAAAATTGGAAGGGGAGTTCAAGCATTTTTCCAACAAGAGGTGAACGTGAGAGAGAGGGGCTTGGAGAGAGAGAGGGGGGAGACGGGTGGGAGAAGTGGCTGGCGGGATTGAGGGGCTGAGGTGGGATTTAATTCCTAATTCCCTTAATTGATTTAGGAATTAATTTAGGAATTAAAGTTTCAGAGGAATTTGGCCAAGAGGGGTGAGGTTTCAAATAGTCTCCAAAGAGAGTTCGATTGGGGGGCGACGAGGGCTTGGAGATGGGGAAGGGTTTGGGGGGGAAATGATGACCAGTGGTGGTGGTGGAAGGAGGAAAGACAAAGATAAAGAAAGACCACGAACCCGACCGTCTCCAAGGTTGGTGGGTAGTGCGCAAGCTTTCCTCTCCTAGGGATCTCCCTCCATCAAACACTCAAAACTCTCACAAGAGCTCATGCAAGAAGACAAATGCAGGAAAGTTTTCTTAATCATTCATTAACTTCAAAATAACAAGATCAAGGCTATAAATAGGCTCATACAATCACTTAACGCAAAAAGGACTCAAATACCCTTGATGGACTACAAGACTCAATCCTTCAAAGCAAGGGTAAAAACGGAAAATGCTGAAATAAAAAGATTACATCAATAAGTAGACAATAATAAAATCAAAAGTACATCGGGTAAATCGTGGCCGTTGATTTACGGCACATCGACGGTAGACTTTCCAACTGATGTCCCCATCACTCAATCAATCCTTCCTAAATTTACTGAAATCCATCTAAAAATTTCTACCATACTCAATTTGTCTTATTCATTATCACCCAACATTTGAACACATATTATATACTTAGTCTAATTATACTTTTATAGATTTTTCTTTAAATATCAATGATATTCTTTTATTGCATGGTATTCCTGATTTCTAAGACCAATTCAACATTTACTCAAGATGTTATCTCTAATTATTCAATATGATGTATCAATACTTCAACCTGTTATACATAAATATCACTAGATCTTCAACCAAAATTTGATTGAAGACTAACAATTTTACAAACATTAAAATTATACATCATATACTCAATCTTTACTAATCCCAATCCCCAATTCTTCTAAATGTCTCTTTCAATTATTTTAACTTTTTCACTTCACTTGGTAGAGATATTGCCTATAATGCCACCTAGAAATATTTAACATAATACCTTTCTCTAAACAACCATTGGGGTCATCTACAGAACACTTAAACACTACATAGATTTTTTATGCAATCCTATAGTGATTAAGTACTCTTCGACCTCATCACAACTATTTATAACGCTAGTCAATGTACATCTCTTTAATAACTTCAATATACCCTTAGAACATAACCCTTTTTTCTCGTAATATGCAGCAAATCAAATTTTGTTGTGCTCAATCACATGCCTTATCAAAATCAATTAAAGTTATATGAAAATTTCTTCTCATGCATTTACACCTTTCCTTAAAATACCCATTTAATAATTCCTCAAATAACAATTTTCTTTTTTTTTTCATCATTTTTAACTAAGACCCACTATCTTTGCTTCTGATATATTAAACATGATCAAATTCTTTGAACCTGTAATCTCTTGCCCTAGTTATTTTCAACATCTCCTTTGGTCATATCTTAACATCTAATCTACCAAACAAATCAACAAAAACCTGTAGCTTTTGGTGTGTTTGCCACCCTCTTTGTATAACTTCTTTATAACCATCACAATTTTTCACAATTTTTTGTCAATTTCTAAAAGGATATTTTTTAAATTACTTTTTACACCCTCACTCAAAAAACAAGTCCCTTAGATACAACCTAAACACCCCTAAAACTTCTAAAAAAACTTTTTTAATGTAACCAACCACTCTATCAAACATCAAACTTGATTCCACTAAAGAGTCTCACTATTCTTTCTGTTAATGACCTAACACAAACAGCCACCAACTTAGCCTTACAATTTCCACCATTTGATCCTAAAGAAACTATTTCTAATGATTGCTTTCTTTTTATCTTTAAATTTTAGCAAAAAGAATTTTATTTCATTCTAAGTTAAAAAAAAAATATTATAATTTTGTATCTACACTTTTGACAATAATTAACCGTAATTCTCATGTATTGAAGCAAATATTCAATGTTAAATAAGTATAAGCTACTACAAAATCAAGTATAGCTTCAGCACATACATTATTATGTACCATATCATACACACCATCAATCCTCTCATAGATCATCGAAAAGCTACATGTTCATGTTGTCACTAACAATTCTTATACTCTCTACCTCAAATATAAATTGTAACTGTTCTTTATCTCTCTAATCCTAACAATTCTTTCATCTCTCACCAAAAATGATTGCCCAACTATCTTATAACAAACTTGACAATTATAGGTATTAACAATATTTAAAATATCCATATCAAAAATTAATTAAATATCAATCACCCTACCAACAACCTTATTAACCTAAAAAAAATTATCTTTCAACTCTTAATCCACTATTATTAATCTTTTACAACATATAAAAGATTACAACCTCCTCGAATATCTTTGGATATCTTCCATTTCCATTTAGTTTCCCGAAAATATGATATTTCCTTCTTCAAAAAAAAAATCCACCAAGTTTATATTCCTCCCACTCAATCTCAAAATTCACATATCAAATATAAACTTAATTTACACGTCATTAACCCATGCCCATTTTACACTACAATTAGGTTAAGTTGTTGTGTCTTACCTAAAAGTGAAGCCTGAATCAATACTCGGCAACTTTTCACCACTATAGAATTAAGTTGTAGTATGCTATTGATAATGAACGTCCAAGAAGACCCTTGCCAATTTCTCACCATAATTAACTTCGACCATGGTGCATAGCTTCAATAAAATAATCCAGAACTAAAAATGAGAAATAAAATAAATTTGAATCGATTCATAGATTTGGTAAGCCTTAAGACTAATTGTGGGCTTAACATCAAACTACAATCTTTCCTAGTCAACATTGCGACTGACAATGACTTTTTAACTAATTACAAAAAACAAATATTAAATTTCAAGCATAAGAAACGCATGTACTAGTCTTGCTAATTCGCAAAGATAGAAGCAATGTTGAAATAACAGGGGTTCCAGGAATACCTCCCTCTTATTTTGTCTTTAAAAGCTCACCATAAGGCCTTCATAAAATATAAAAATCTAAACTTCAGTAAAATAGAGACAAATAAAATAGCGCAGTTTTATTAGTACAAGGTCAAACTGGTTGCGCAAGGATTGAAAAAGCAGAACATTTAATATGGATATGGTTGTCTGTTTGTAATCTATTTAGCTGTTGATTTTGTTATTTTGTTGTGAAACAGAGCACAGGAATGAGCTACCAAGTTTCAATAAAACAAAGTAAAATGCAAGAACTTCACCAAAATCTTTTTTACTTCCAAAATGAGCTACCAAGTTTTGCAAACTAAAGGACACAGAAAACACGCTCATTGTCATGTAGTTGCACAAAGTATTCAAAAAATTGTCTGCGAAAAAGGCATATATATCTTTGAATAGCTCAAAAAAGTAAGTTTACCGATCCACCCTGCAAGCAATTTCCAAAAATAATACCAAGCCTACCAGGAGAAAGCTCCATACCCTAACAAATTCCATTCCTTTATTCTAA